AGTGAGTGGGTGAATGAGTGAGTGGGTGAGTGGGTGAGTGAATGGGTGAGTGGGTGAGTGAGTAGGTGAGTGGGAGAGTGAGTGGGAGAGTGAGTGGGTGAGTGAGTGGGTGAGTGGGTGAGTGAGTGAGTGGGTGAGTGGGTGAGTGAGTTTGTGAGTAAGTGGGTGAGTGAGTGGGTGAGTGAGTGGGTGAGTGAGTGAGTGAGTGGGTGAGTTTGTGAGTGAGTGAGTGAGTGGGTGGGTGAGTGAGTGGGTGAGTGAGTGAGTGAGATTGTGAGTGAGTGGGTGAGTGAAAGAGTGGGTGAGTGGGTGGGTGAGTGAATGGGTGAGTGGGTGTGTGAGTGAGTGGGTGAGTGGGTGGGTGAGTGAATGGGTGAGTGGGTGGGTGATTGGGTGAGTAGGTGGGTGGGTGGGTGAGTGGGTGAGTGTGTGAGTGAGTGGGTGAGTGAGTGATTGAGTGGGTGAGTGGGTGAGTGAATGAGTGAGAGGGTGAGTGAGTTTGTGAGTGAGTGGGTGAGTGAGTGAGTGTGTGGGTGGGTGAGTGAGTGAGTGGTTGAGTGAGTGAGTGAGTGGGTGAGTGAGTGGGTTGGTGGGTAAGTGAGTGGTTGAGTGAGTGGGTGGGTGGGTGAGTGAGTGGGTGAGTGAGTGGGTGATTGAGTGAGTGTGTGAGTGAGTGAGTGGGTGAGTGAGTGAGTGAGTGGGTGAGTGAGTGAGTGTGTGAGTAGGTGAGTGGGTGAGTGAGTGAGTGGGTGAGTGAGTGAGTGGGTGAGTAAGTGGGTGACTGAGTGAGTGGGTGACTGGGTGAGTGTGTGAGTGAGTGGGTGGGTGAGTGAGTGAGTGGGTGAGTAAGTGGGTAAGTGAGTGGGTGGGTGGGTGAGTGAGTGAGTGGGTGAGTGAGTGGGTGAGTGGGTGAGTGAGTGGGTGAGAGAGTGGGTGAGTGGGTGAGTGAGTGGGTGAGTGGGTGAGTGGGTGAGTGAGTGGGTGAGTGTATGAGTGAGTGAGTGTATGAGTGAGTGAGTGGGTGAGTGAGTGGGTGAGTGAGTGGGTGAGTGAGTGAGTGGGTGGGTGAGTGAGTCACCAAAACACAAATCTGAAAAATGTCACCACAAATTTATTTATCAGTCCGCGTCACACAGGGACAGCTGCCACTGGGGGTGCCCCTCAGCAAAAGGATCACTCACAGGATATAGGATCACACACAGGATATAGGATCACACACAGGATATAGGATCACACGTAGCCTAAAGAATCGCTCCTAGGCAATAGGATCATTCCTAGGCTACAGGATAATCCCTAAGTCTATAGGATCACCCCTAGTCTATAGAATCACCCCCAGTTTATAGGACCACCCCTAAGTCTATAGGATAACCTCTAGTCTATAGGATCACCCAAAAGTCTATAGGATAACCCCTAGTCTATAGGATCACCCCTAAGTCTGTACGATTACCCCAAACTCTATAGGATCACCCCTAGTCTATAGGAACACCCCTAAGACTATAGGACCACCCCTTGTCTATAGGATCACCCCTAAGTCTATAGAACCACCTTTAGTCTATAGGATCACCTCTAAGTCTATAGGATCCCCCCTAAGTCTATAGGATCACCCCTAAGTCTATAAGATCACCACTAAGTCTATAGGATCACCCCCAGTCTATGGGACCACCCCTAAGTTTATAGGATCACCCGTAAGTCTATAGGATCACCCCTAGTCTATAGGATCACCCCTAGTCTATAGGATCACCTGTAAGTCTATAGGATCACCCCTAGTCTATAGGATCACCCCTGGTCTATAGGATCACCCGTAAGTCTATAGGATCACTCCTAAGTCTAGAGGATCACCCCTAGTCTATAGAATCACTCCTAAGTCTATAGGATTACCCCTAGTCTATAGGATCACCCCTAAGTCTAAAGGATCACTCCTAGTCTATAGGATCACCCCTAGTCTATAGAATCACTCCCAGTCTATAGGTTCACCCCTAAGTCTATAGGATCACCCCTAAGTCTATAGGATCACCCCTAGTCTATAGGATCACTTCTAGTCTATAGGATCACCCTGAAGTCTATAGGATCACTCCTAGTCTATAGGATCACTCCTAGTCTATAGGATCACCCCTAAGTCTAAAGGATCCCTCCTAGTCTATAGGATCACCCCTAGTCTATAGAATGACTCCTAGTCTATAGGATCACCCCTAAGTCTATAGGATCACCCCTAAGTCTATAGGATCACCCCTAGTCTATAGGATCACTTCTAGTCTATAGGATCACCCCGAAGTCTATAGGATCACTCCTAGTCTATAGGATCACCCCGAAGTCTACAGGATCACCCCTAAGTCTATAGAATCACCCCGAAGTCTATAGGATCACTCCTAGTCTATAGGATTCCAAACAGCAGCGTCAACACGAATGATCGGCCCTCTAAAGGGCATTAGCTGAGTGACAGTCCCAGAAACAGAAGCAGAAAAAACTCCTACAGCTTAGTAGGGTGAGTGGGTGGGTGGGTGAGTGAGTGGGTGGGTAAGTGGGTGAGTGAGTGAGTGGGTGAGTGAGTGAGTGAGTGGGTGAGTGGGTGGGTGAGTGGGTGAGTGAGTGGGTGAGTGGGTGAGTGGGTGGGTGATTGGGTGAGTGAGTGGGTGAGTGAGTGGGTGAGTGAGTGGGTGAGTGAGTGGGTGGGTAAGTGAGTGGGTGGGTGAGTGAGTGGGTGGGTGAGAGAGTGGGTGGGTGAGTGGGTCAGTGAGTAGGTGAGTGGTTGAGTGGGTGAGTGGGTGGGTGAGTGAGTGGGTGAGTGAGTGAGTGGGTGGGTGAGTGGGTGAGTGAGTGGGTGGGTGAGTGAGTGGGTGGGTGAGTGGGTGAGTGAGTGGGTGGGTGAGTGAGTGAGTGGTTGAGTGGGTGAGTGAATGGGTGAGTGGGTGAGTGGGTGAGTGAGCGAGTTGGTGAGTGGGTGAGTGAGTGAGTGAGTGGGTGAGTGAGTGGGTGAGTGAGTGGGTGGGTGAGTGAGTGAGTGGTTGAGTGGGTGAGTGAATGGGTGAGTGGGTGAGTGGGTGAGTGAGCGAGTTGGTGAGTGGGTGAGTGAGTGAGTGAGTGGGTGAGTGACTGGGTGAGTGGGTGGGTGAGTGAGTGGGTGAGTGAGTGAGTGAATGGGTGAGTGCGTGAGTGAGTGAGTGAGTGGGTGGGTGGGTGGGTGAGTGGGTGGGTGATTGAGTGAGTGAGTGGGTGAGTGGGTAAGTGAGTTAGTGGGTGGGTGAGTGGGTGGGTGAGTGGGTGGGTGAGTGGGTGGGTGAGTGGGTGGGTGGGTGATTGGGTGAGTGGGTGGGTGAGTGAGTGGGTGAGTGAGTGGGTGATTGGGTGAGTGAGTGAGTGGGTGAGTGGGTGAGTGAGTGGTGAGTGAGTGAATGGGTGAGTGGGTGAGTGGGTGGGTGAGTGGGTGAGTGAGTGAATGGGTGAGTGGGTGAGTGGGTGGGTGAGTGGGTGAGTGAGCGAGTGAGTGAGTGGGTGAGTGAGTGGGTGAGTGAGTGGGTGAGTGGGTGAGTGGGTGAGGGAGTGGGTGGGTGAGTGAGTGGGTGAGTGGGTGGGTGAGGGAGTGGGTGGGTGAGTGAGTGGGTGAGTGGGTGGGTGAGTGGGTGAGTGAGTGAGTGGGTGAGTGGGTGAGTGGGTGGGTGAGGGAGGGAGTGGGTGGGTGAGTGAGTGGGTGAGTGAGTGGGTGAGTGGGTGGGTGAGTGAGTGGGTGAGTAGGTGAGTGGGTGAGTGAGTGGGTGAGTGGGTGGGTGAGGGAGTGGGTGGGTGAGTGAGTGGGTGAGTGAGTGGGTGAGTGGGTGAGTGAGTGAGTTAGTGGGTGAGTGTGTGGGTGGGTGAGTGGGTGAGTTAGTGGGTGAGTGAGTGGGTGGGTGAGTGGGTGAGTGAGTGGGTGAGTGAGTGGGTGAGTGGGTGAGTGAGTGAGTGGGTGAGTGAGTGGGTGAGTGAGTGGGTGAGTGAGTGGGTGAGTGGGTGAGTGAGTGGGTGGGTGGGTGTGTGGGTGGGTGAGTGGGTGAGTGAGTGGGTGAGTGAGTGGGTGAGTGACTGAGTGAGTGATTGAGTGATTGAGTGACTGAGTAACTGAGTGAGTGAGTGAGTGACTGAGTGAGTGTATGAGTGAGTGCATGAGTGACTGACTGAGTGAGTGACTGAGTGACTGAGTGACTGAGTGAGTGACTGAGTGAGTGTGTGACTGAGTGACTGACTGAATGATTGAGTGACTGAGTAACTGAGTGAGTGACTGAGTGACTGACTGAGTGAGTGACTGAGTGACTGACTGAATGATTGAGTGACTGAGTAACTGAGTGAGTGACTGAGTGACTGACTGAGTGAGTGACTGAGTGAGTGACTGACTGAGTGACTGAGTGACTGAGCGAGTGACTGACTGAGTGACTGACTGAGTGACTGAGTGAGTGACTGACTGACTGACCGAGTGACTGAGTGATTGACTGAGTGAGTGACTGACTGACTGAGTGACTGACTGAGTGACTGACTGAGTGACTGATTGAGTGACTGACTGAGTGAGTGACTGAGTGACTGAGTGAGTGACTGAGTGATTGAGTGAGTGAGTGACTGAGTGTATGAGTGAGTGTATGAGTGACTGACTGACTGAGTGACTGACTGAGTAACTGAGTGAGTGACTGAGTATATGAGTGACTGAGTGAGTGACTGAGTGACTGAGTGAGTGAGTGATTGAGTGACTGAGTAACTGAGTTACTGAGTGAGTGACTGAGTGACTGAGTGACTGAGTGAGTGACTGTGTGAGTGATTGAGTGACTGAGTGAGTGACTGAGTGAGTGACTGAGTGAGTGACTGAGTAACTGAGTAACTGAGTGACTGAGTGACTGAGTGAGTGACTGAGTAACTGAGTGAGTGACTGAGTGAGTGACTGAGTGAGTGACTGAGTGTATGAGTGACTGACTGAGTGACTGAGTGTATGAGTAACTGAGTGACTGAGTGAGTGACTGACTGAGTAACTGAGTGAGTAACTGAGTGAGTGACTGACTGAGTGACTGACTGAGTGACTGACTGAGTGACTGAGTGACTGAGTGACTGAGTGACTGAGTGTATGAATGACTGACTGAGTGACTGAGTATCTAGCGAGGCAGGTGCTGGTACAGCGCCTGTACGTAGGTGAAGATGCACTTGGGGTCTGGGTGATGGCTCATCGCCATCATGTCCTCCACCTCGATCAGACGGTCGCAGTCCGCCAGCTTCCTGCACGGGGCAAGATCACCATCATCATCAGCATCATCATCAGCATCATCACCATCAGCATGGCGGTGTGGGGTGAGGTTTGCGGTGGACCAGCGCCCAACAAAAACGTTGCACCGACGTTGGTGCCGAAACACGCCTTACAATAACAAGCATCATCATCTTCAGCATCATCATCAGCATCATCATCATCATCAGCATCATCAGCAGCAGCAGCAGGGGTGGAGAGGCACATGGTATGTAGAGTTCGCTTGCCATGTTCACCGCCACGTGCCCATGATAACCGCCCAGGCAATGCGTTTCTCATCAGAACCGGCAGCAGCATCGTCAGCAGCATCATCATCATCAGCATCATCATCAGCATCATCATCAGCATCATCCTCAGCATCATCATCAGCATCATCATCAGCATCATCCTCAGCAAGATCTTCTTCAGATGCATCATCATCCTCAGCAAGATCTTCGTCAGATGCATCATCAGCATCATCCTCAGCAAGATCTTCGTCAGATGCATCATCAGCATCATCCTCAGCAAGCTCTTCGTCAGATGCATCATCATCAGCATCATCATCACCATCAGCATCATCCTCAGCAAGATCTTCTTCAGATGAATCATCACCAGCAGCAGCATCATCCTCAGCATCATCATCATCAGCATCATCCTCAGCAAGATCTTCTTCAGATGTATCATCATCAGCAGCAGCATCATCCTCAGCATCATCATCCTCAGCAAGATCTTCGTCAGATGCATCATCATCAGCAGCAACAGCATCATCCTCAGCAAGATCTTCGTCAGATGCATCATCATCATCATCCTCAGCATCATCATCCTCAGCGTCATCCTCAGCAAGATCTTCGTCAGATGCATCATCAGCAGCATCACCATCAGCATCATCCTCAGCAAGATCTTCGTCAGGTGCATCATCATCATCAGCATCATCGTGAGCCCGTGGTGGTGAGACGCACGGCATGCTGGGTCAGATTTCCGATTCAAAGTTTCCGTGACTGCAGGGATTAATCTTCCGGGTTCTTTCGGTAAAGTCACCGCCACGTAGGATGCAGATGTAACAATGAAACGCAATCAAATAAGATTCCCACGACGTTTCGGTCCACGAAACAAGTAGCCTTCTTCAGGTGAATAAACAGGACTTACGATATTTTACATTATGAGACCTCCTTTGCCAGTTACAAGATAGAGTAATAGGTTTTTAATCCTTTTAACTGGCACACAAAAAACTGACACCTTTATTCAAGGCATCATGTCTGCAGTAACCACAACACAAGCAGTTTAAAATGCCAGTTAAAAGTGTAAAACCTATTACTATATCTTGTTACTGGCAAAGGAGGTCTCATAATGACTAGGAGGTTGTTGACTAGGTTGTTGACTAGGTTGCTGACTAGGTTGTTGACTAGGAGGTTGTTGACTAGGTTGTTGACTAGGTTGTTGACTAGGAGGTTGTTGACTAGGAGGTTGTTGACTAGGTTGTTGACTAGGAGGTTGTTGACTAGGAGGTTGTTGACTAGGAGGTTGTTGACTAGGAGGTTGTTGACTAGGTTGTTGACTAGGTTGTTGACTAGGAGGTTGTTGACTAGGTTGTTGTTGACTAGGAGGTTGTTGACTAGGTTGTTGAATAGGTTGTTGACTAGGTTGTTGACTAGGAGGTTGTTGACTAGGTTGTTGACTAGGTTGTTGACTAGGAGGTTGTTGACTAGGTTGTTGTTGACTAGGTTGTTGTTGACTAGGAGGTTGTTGACTAGGAGGTTGTTGACTAGGAGGTTGTTGACTAGGTTGTTGACTAGGTTGTTGACTAGGTTGTTGACTAGGAGGTTGTTGACTAGGAGGTTGTTGACTAGGAGGTTGTTGACTAGGAGGTTTAGGAATAGGTTTTACCCTTTTAACTGGCACGCAAAAACTGACACCTTTATTCAAGACATCGTGTCTGCAATAACCACAACACAAGCAGTCAAAATGCAAACAAAAATAAACAACTCTGATAATAATATTGGCACTGTCCTTGAATTTGATTGGTCCACACCAGAGACGGCTTTTCTTAGAGCCCTTTAGTCTCTCCATTGGTGTTGGACCAGAAGACGCCAAAAAGGGTACAACTCAAAAAGGTGTCAGCTTTTGTGCCAGTTAAAAGGATTAAAAACCTATTCCTATATCTTGTTACTGGCAAAGGTCTCATAATGTAAATGCTCACCCCGAGCCCTCAATACTCTGATGTTGCGCTGGTTTTCAGTTGTACGCCTTTTGGCGTCTTCTGGTCCAACACCAGTGGAGAGACTAAAGGGCTCTAAGAAAAGCCGTCTTGGGTGTGGACCAATCAAATTCAAGGACAGTGCCAATATCATTATCAGAGTTGTCTCTTTTGTTTGCATTTTGACTGCTTGTGTTGTGGTCATTGCAGACACGATGCCTTGAATAGAGGTGTCAGTTTTTTGTGCCAGTTAAAAGGGTAAAAACCTATTACTAGGACTTACAATACTTGTACAGTGAATATATATAGAGCAGTGTGGCATATAGTGGGGGTTATAAGATAAGACACGGTGTAAAGTTACAAGCGTAATATTTCACAGTCTATAAAGCACAGGGCGGCGTAGAGCAACGCATTGTATAATTCAAAAGGTGGGATTTTGTTGTTGTTTTTTTTTTCGGTCCATGGATATGATATTTATTATACCACCACGTAGTTCAGATTGGACGGTGTACTATTACACTGTATAGTAGTCCAGTTTATAGCATAGTTATTAACGCGAGACAGGGCAAAGCAGCACAACTATCCTGTTCCTGAGTACCTGCCACCACCCTCCACCCCCGATCCGGCGTTGGTGCTCATTCGTACGTTAATTCTGCCCACACAGCTTAAAAAAAAGATGCGGTCCAGGCTTGGCAGTTGTTCACCCGAGCGCCGTCTTCTGGACAGTCCTGTTCGTTCACCTGAGGACGGCTACTTGTGTTGTGGCCGAAACGTCGCGAGAATCCGATTTCGTTAGGTTTCATTTCCATCATTTCATTTCCATCCTACGCGGCGGTGACTTCAAGTGAGAATTTTATTTTATTACGTTTTATTTATTTCCATTCTACGTGGTGACTTTAAGTGAGAATCTTATTTTATTGTTTTGAATTTTTATTATTTTATTTCCATCCTACATGGCGGTGACTTTAAGTGAGAATTTTATTTTATTACGTTTAATTTTTATTATTTTATTTCCATTCTACGTGGTGACTTTCAGTGAGAATTTTATTTTATGTTTCATTTTTATTATTTTATTTCCATCCTACGTGGTGGTGACTTTTAGTGAGAATTTTCTTTTATTATGTTTTATTTTCATTATTTTATTTCCATTCTACGTGGTGACTTTAAGTGAGAATCTTATTTTATTACGTTTCATCTTTATTATTTTATTTCCATCCTACGTGGCGGTGCCTTTACCGAAAGAACCAACAAGACGCGGGGTCAGGTTTGCCCGGACGAGCCCCCGATATCCACGTTCACGGCCGGACCGTCCGCCAATCATCACGACAATCATCATCAGGACAGTGAGACGCGGGGTCAGGTCACCCGGACGAGCCCCCGATATCCACGTTCACCGCCAGACCGTTCGACACTCATCACGACAATCATCATCAGGACGGAGAGACGCGGGGTCAGATAGCCCGGACGAGCCCCCGATATCCACGTTCACGGCCAGACCATCCGCCACTCATCACGACAATCATCATCAGGTCGTGCTGGTGAGACGCGGGGTCAGGTAGCCCGGACGAGCCCCCGATATCCACGTTCACCGTCACACCGTCCACCACTCACTATAACAATCATCATTAGGCCGGTGAGACGCGGGGTCAGGTTTGCCCGGACGAGCCCCCGATATCCACGTTCACCGCCACACCGTCCACCACTCACTATAACAATCATCATGAGGCCGGTGAGACGCGGGGTCAGGTTTGCCCGGACGAGCCCCCGATATCCACGTTCACCGCCACACCGTCCATCACTCACTATAACAATCATCATTAGGCCGGTGAGACGTGGGGTCAGGTTTGCCCGGACGAGCCCCCGATATCCACGTTCACCGCCACACCGTCCACCACTCACTATAACAATCATCATTAGGCCGGTGAGACGTGGGGTCAGGTAGCCCGGACGAGCCCCCGATATCCACGTTCACCGCCACACCGTCCACCACTCACTATAACAATCATCATTAGGCCGGTGAGACGCGGGGTCAGGTTTGCCCGGACGAGCCCCCGATATCCACGTTCACGGCCACACCGTCCACCACTCACTATAACAATCATCATTAGGCCGGTGAGACGCGGGGTCAGGTTTGCCCGGACGAGCCCCCGATATCCACGTTCACCGCCACACCGTCCACCACTCACTATAACAATCATCATTAGGCCGGTGAGACGCGGGGTCAGGTTTGCCCGGACGAGCCCCCGATATCCACGTTCACAGCCACACCGTCCGCCACTCACTATAACAATCATCATTAGGCCGGTGAGACGCGGGGTCAGGTAGCCCGGACGAGCCCCCGATATCCACGTTCACCGCCACACCGTCCACCACTCACTATAACAATCAACAATTAGGCTGGTGAGACGTGGGGTCAGGTAGCCCGGACGAGCCCCCGATATCCACGTTCACCGCCACACCGTCCACCACTCACTATAACAATCATCATTAGGCCGGTGAGACGCGGGGTCAGGTTTGCCCGGACGAGCCCCCGATATCCACGTTCACCGCCATACCGTCCACCACTCACTATAACAATCATCATGAGGCCGTGCTGGTGAGACGTACGGCATGCAGGCAGGCGGGGGGGGAGAGGGAGGGGGCAGGCAGGCAGGCAGGGGGTAGGAGGCATGCTTCAAGGCTCGCTGGAGGAGTGTCCGGTTCTGACGAGGCCACGCAGGGCCAGGCACCGGTAGACCTCCTGCAGGTAGGTGAAGACGCTACGCCAGTCCGGACAGCGCATGCACACCATGTCCTCCACGT